CTTCTTTCTAATTCAGTATATGTTACCATTTAAAGTGCATCTTGTTAGTAGGGCAACATATTACTGTGATAGATAAAAAAAATGAAGTAATATTAATTCAAGTGAATACAAGGTTTAAGGTTTAGTCGTGGACTTTGGCAGTACTGAGCAAAGCACATCCAATATTGATTATTTTAATGTACAACACTTTCTTACTTACTTCAATACAGTAATTAGGGAGGTTTTGAGGAAACTTCTAGTTAAGGCACTAGGTAGTTGTAGATAGTGATTTGTAAGCCATGGTTGCTAAATTGGAGATTACAGATATCTAAAACAAGTCTTGTGTGTTGTCTTATTTCTCGGTTCATGTTGTCATTACAGTAGGAATTGGTCAATTCGTTTTTGTTCCAGTAAGCAGTCCATGGGGGGGTTTAATATGTTAAAGTAACGTATAAATTAGTTTATTATTATAGTTAGTTCGAACTTTGTATTTACTTTTTTTGAATGAATGGATTAAATTTCTTTAAAGTTTTATGTTCTTGGTATTTTTCCTTCCATTAGCAACAGACAGCACTCCTTACCTGGGACAAAAAACTGGGAAAACTGAAACATGACCATGCAGTTTCATTATTCAGTATAACCTTTTTTTTAATTTGTTAATAGATTGGAAGCACTAACGGTACAAAATATATCTCAATATTCAATATTAAAATGCTAAACGTGTCTTATAGTGTCAAACAAACTGATGAAAATAACATATCCTGAAGGCGCAATTATTGACGTCAACTGTTCTAGGCTCAGATGTGTTGTTTTTCCAGTGTGTGCGCGAATTAAATCAAGTCCCTTTGTTTTAATCATTTGGTCACAGTCAGACAAAACACAGCTAATCGCATGATTTTAAACTTTGTGCTTTTTGGCCTCCTTCTCTTCGTGGTGGGAAAAGACAGGGCGTGGGCAGGCAGCTGGCTTCTTATTCTCGTGTCTTTACAGCATGTTTCCTGTTCCACGGCTCCAGTTTTTGTATTAAAGGAAAGATGAGTCGGACTTGGCGAGAGTGGGGACCGCTTAGGGCCTCTTTGTAGGGAGCTCTTGGTGGGGCAGATTGGACGCTGTGCTGGTTCAGACATAACAGAGCAGAAGGAGGGTTGACCGGCGCAGACAAACTCTGTCCGAACCCCACGAGCAGCCAAGTTGATCTCATCACGCCTGAACGGAGGAGTGGAGACGGAACATCTCAGGTACTTTTAACCTGCGTTAACTTGCCATTGGAACACTGCTCTTAAGGATATATCCGAATGGCACAAACGTCTGGTTGCAGTCGGCTACACTGCTAGATGCAACACTGGGACCTGTATAGCTCGATCGTGGAAACAGTTTCAACTTTGTAGCACGCAAGCCAGGCAGTTAGACAACATTTTATGTTCTTTAAGTATGTTCTCAAGGTTCACATTTCCCTTCTTTAGCTGTTTTGGTCTCTTACCAGTTTGTTGAGGGAAATTCTGACTCTTTAGCTGCCCTGTCTGGTTTCAGTCGGGTTTTAAAGCTTTTTGTTCCAAGACAAGGGTTGATGGGCAGCAGCAAAACGTTAAATGTATTTTCAGGCTTTAAACCAAACAATGACTGAAAGCTCAATAATGTTTCAAGGGAGCAGTTGAGTGAATTCTGGTGGGTTCATACAAATAGCGATCCTCTCTATTTACTTGTTGTGATCCATTTGTTAAAAAATGTATATTGAATAAAGGACCGTATGCTGGATCTTAGTGGCATTAGCAGTGATTGCGATTGAACCAATGAATACTTACTGCCTTCCAGAGATGGCCTTGCAGCCATTGGTTGGTGGATAGAAAAGGGACTCCAATACTCTGTAGATAAAACAGCCATACTAAGGTAAAAAACACTTGATTCTTTTTTAGGTGATTATACATAATGAAAACATACTATTTGATTTTATTCCTTTCATGGTCCTGCCTATTGTAGTTACACCACTAGATGGCATTTGGCTTTTAATCATCCGGTCTGGTTTTTGACAATCTTGCAATATGCCAAAAGAGAACTGGTGTATGTCTGTATATATTATTTTACTATGGCTTTTAAATAAGTAAAAATTATTATTTCCAGCCAAAATCTGACATGTGATAATTGGTTCTATGTATCCAAGATGCTACTTCTCATACTTTAAAAGGATAGACATTTTGCAGATACTTTTGATTTTAAAAGTTGCGTACTACCATTCAACACTATCAGTCAACCCTGTGCGCATGGTGGTCGGTCATCTTGGTGACTCTTGTTTAGTTTGTTGGTGTTAATACAGGGTTGTACGGATCAGCAGTGAATCAGTCATGCTGTTACCTGGGTAACCACTCCCTCAGGGCCTTTGCGTGTTTTCCGGGTTCTTTGGCAGTTTTCTCAGCCGCCCAGGCTATTAGAGTACGAATGCAAGCATGTGTGTCACACACTGACAAAACCAAGATATTAATGGCACATGCACTCATATACTGTGGTCCCACTATGTTTCACTCTTGGGTATCACAACTCTGCTTGATTATTTAGTATTCGTTGCCTCCGTTATTTTTCTAGGCTGCAACTTTATCAACTCAAATTCTTCGAGTTGTTAAAAACATTGCACACATTTGTGGTACATTAGCAAGTGCAGGGGAGTTGAAGGTTTCTGATGGGACTTCGTATAAAGGATTTTAGTCCTTGCAGACATCTATAGGGGCTGCCAAAAGAAAGAAAACTTAACTATTGCCTGAGGGGGACTGAACTTGCAGTTCGTTTCAAATATGTGAATTTCCGCTGCTCCATTTAGACATCTTTTTATTTGGTAAGTGGACTGTGCATGCTCAGGAATGTGTCCCCACATGCCGGACACCCTGGTCCAGGCAAATGTCATAGCCAAGTGGCCATCTAGGGGCCAACTCTCTTGGCAGCGCGGAAGGCCCTCACGCTGTCTGGATGTCTCCTCCAAATCTTCTGCAAATGGGCGGATGTCAGCTTCCAGATACTTCACTTAGTCTCAGAAGGTAAGAAACCATTCAATTTTTTGATGGGCAGAACGAACAAAAAATGGGAAGGGTGATTCAACTTTAGTGATAAAACGGCCTCTGTATTACCTCCGGGAAGGCCGACAGGGTAGATGGTTTTCCCAGTGTTTGTCGTCGTAGCAGTAGTATTCCTCTACGGTGCTGCGTGAGCTCGGAGCTCTGGCATTGCGTGCTGCGTCACCTGGTCTTGGTCTGGACTGGCAACATGAGCGTAACGGCACCTGGAAACGTTCTTCACCTGTGGCCAAGCAGAGAAGGGACAACAGAAGCAAGGCAAGATGAATTATTAACTAGTAAATCACAGACTTAAAATAAATCAAACACACTTCCTGTGGCAGGCCTCTGTTTTGTAGCATTTTCTCTGCTCCCACTGTATCTACAAGGTGATCAGGGTTGCGTCTCACTCACGGGAATGTATCTAATTGTTCTTTCAGTCCAGGAGGTTCCCATGCTCTGTCTTTACAGGTGTACCGTCATCCTTGTATATTCCCTTAGCTGTCTCTCTGCGCCGTGTGAAGACAGCATGGGCGTCCGCTTCGGTTTTATGGCGTGCGTGCTGGGGAATTCTGAGCCACACTGATGAGCCACAGGAAGAGGGGATGAGATTTATCTGACCCAGCACAGCAATGGAGTACGGTCTGCTAGAAGAAAAACACTTTCATGGGCAACAGTGTAGACATCTGAACAAGTATTGGTGGATACCTCGGGTGCATTTCACACAGACCCATTAATTTGTGTAAAGACAGCCTTTCACCTCCTCTCTGGGCACATGCTCATTCACCAGATCCTTCTGGATTCCTGGTTGGCAGCGGGATTTTGGCTCTCATTCAGGCTACCGCAGGCATTAGTGGGTCCTGCCGCTCGCGCCTTCGGACCAGTAGGGCCAGTTTGCCGTCCGTTGGGTCTGAGTGTCGTCTCCTCCAGCGGCGTCTGTCCGTAGGGCTGGCCACGTTCTTCCACAACACCACCTTTCTAAACCACCATTTCTTTATGGGAGCCTCGCTCTGTGCATGGGCGCCGAGCATGCGCCCGTTGGAACCAGGTTGTTGGGGTTGCCACAAGCAGGAGGCACACTACTTGTCTTCAGCAGTTGGTTTTAAAGTTCCTCCAGTTAGTTTGTCCAAGACAACCAATATCAGGTTGAGTCTGGAAAGCGCAATTAGACCACAACCTTTCGGTTGCGTGGAAAAGGTTTTTACTTGCTTTCCCTCTCCCTTCTTACTCATGTCATGACTTCCTACACCACTTATACACATCCTTCTTCGCAACGGCGTCCGCGCGCCGCCTCTGTCGGTTGGGCTGCTCCTTCCTAGGATCGTCTGTTTTCGCGCGCAGAGAGCGCGTGGCCTTTCTTACATAGTTTTCTTCCCGCTTCTCTGCGGGCACCACTTCTCCAGACGTCCTCCCTCCCGACATTTTCCCTCTCTGTGGCCTCCTCGAACTCAGTACGGAGCGCGACAGCCCCCAAAACTACTATGGGCTTCTGATAGGTAGGGCCAGGGGCCATAGGCTATGGGGCCATGTGGGTTCACTCCTAATTTGGGATCAATCAGCGCCACTACGTGGCGTTAGAGTGATTGACAGAAAACCTGACAAGTTACCAAAAAATATGACTTTTCAGCTATCCTGAACCTGGGAGGCCCCTAGGTAAACCCGTGTATTAAAGCGGCCTTGTGTAGAGTCAATCACTTTTGCAGTCCAAACAACCACAGCTACTTTCCCTGCCAATGCGCAGACACAATAGTCTGTTAGAAGATATTATTTCTATATATTTCGACAAGTGTTCAGTTAGTAGCCTTGCGTGACCATTACCCGTCGATAAGGGGGCCGAGGAAGGTCTTTGCTCCGAGATCCTCGCCTCCTCCTCCTCCACTTTGACCGCCGCAGAGGAACCTGGATCCGCGTCCCTCCGTCTGCAGGTGAGTTTGGACCGAAGAGAGGCAGCAGGGGTGCAGCCAGCACCCTGATTCCCGCTCCGAGTGACAGCAGCCCGGCTCTGCATGAAGTAAGGAGAGGCCATTATCAAACACTTCACTACATAACAAACCCTCGTGCTGCGGCGTGATTGAAGCATCGACATGAAGTTGGTTTCACATTCGTGGTTTCTGGTCAAGAGAGGATTATTATAGGAGTTCAATCAAAATGCATCAACAACAACAACAACAACAACAACAACACAACGACAGTGGCAATTAAAAATGTCCTTTTAATAATACATAACAACTGGTTCATAGTTATTATTTAACATATATGCATCACTTCTAACAAGGCAATGATAAAAGGTAAACTATATTTAGTTTAAACTTAAATTAGACAACTGACAACTACGCATATGCATTATAAATATAAAACATGCTAAACTAATCAGGCATTGGCAGTAGAGCTCGTTGTGTTGCCTGTAGCTGTGGGGTACAAAGAAAATATTAATAAGCTATAATAACCCAACACCAGCAGCAGGCATGCAGTGTGAATTGGTATTGTAAATCTAAGATACTGAAACAGAATCTCCAGAACGTTTCTGCAAAATATCATAATTTGAATGACCTTATCCACGGCTCAGGATAATAACATTCAATAGCACAATGTGGTCTACAGTCTCTTCTTGAGTTCCTGAGCTGTTTTTAAATATTGTATACTGTCAGTCCTGTTTGTCCAAAAGCTCCACTCACAGGCAGCTTCTCACTCCAATAAGGAACCAACTTCAGCATCGTTAGCATGTTCAGCTAGCTGGTTGCTAGTTAACCATTCGGTAACGTTTAAGTTTTAATAGTTAATATAATATAGTTAGCTACGAAACAGTGTCACGGGGCCTTTGAGAAACAATGGCTTGCTATTATGTGGGTGTTCTTCATTTGTGACAATATGTAAAACCAGAGTTACAAAGTTTAGCATAGTTTGGGGTTTAGCTTGAAGCAGAACTACATTTCCCAGCAGGCAGTTCGTCAAACGTGTTTTTGTAGGAAGTGGCCCCTGTCAGAGCTTTACTGTGTCATCCGGTTGAGGAGCGAAGGACCGAGCTCGGACGAGAACAAGCTGCAAATACAGTTATACCAATGCACATACAGCTGTGTTGGCTGCATGTGGACGAGACTGTGGCTGAATGAAACCGAAAGCGACTCCTCTTCAGTAAGGTGAGGGGGGAGAGAGGGGGAGAGGGGGGGAGGAGTGAAGGAGTGAAGGAGTGAAGGAGGTGTTGTTTTTAACGTTAGCTACCAGACCTTGAATGCCACACAGGAATGCTGGCCCAGTGTAAAGCCTAACGTTAGCTAACGGGTCAGCAGCGCCATTGTGCATTTCTCCACGTTATATCATGTTTATGTGGTCAACACACACTGTTTGCTGTGGTCGGAGGCTACCTTGCACCGTTGTTGTTGTTGTTGTTGTGGAACAGACAGTCGTTGTCTGTCTTCCCCCCCGCTGCATGGGCTACTCATTGACAGACTGGGACTCCAAACTTCACTACTGGATCAAAGTGGGTGGGACTGTTCGCCCAAATTACATTACTTTTACTTATTTACCTCTAGTGATATCTAGATGCAGCCATGCACAGTGTAAATGCTGTCACCTCCTCATCTAAATGTTACAACTCCACACTGTCCAAAAATGTCAAACAATTTGAAAAAGACAACACAGAGAATTGAGAGAAGTAAAAAGTAGATGCGCATATATGTGATGTACCTGTCAGACATCAAAGTAATATATATTATAAATAATAGATATTCTATATATAGAATATTATATAGATATTCGATATATCTGTGAGAACAGTTGAAAATGTTTGTAATTTGGGTGAACTAACTCTTTAAGTCTTTAGCGTTAGATTTAATGTAATGCTCAGCATCTTCTTTTAATAGTGCAGACTGATTTAATAGTTGCAAGGGGTTTTGGTAGAGCATGTGTATGTTTGAGGATCCATCTAATTCCTAACAGGCAAGCCACATGAAATCACGTTTAGAGATAGTCATGTGCCTTGTCCGGCCTTCAGGGGTTGCTGCATTGAAAGAATTAGGTATGCAGAGATATATCGGTCAATACTGGACTGATCTCTCCCTATTGACAAAAAAAAGATGGTATTCACCGTGATCAGTTGCTGATGTTTATCTGTTGTCACATGAATTTTGCTCTGTCTAAACGTTGTGTCGGTTATTTTTCTAACTTGGATATTGGAGAAATAATCACCTCCATTTGCCAGCACTGGCTCAAATTATATGCAAATACTGATGTGCTCTGTGCAGTGCCAGGGAGCGGCTGTTCAGCTCAGCGTCCCACATGTTGGAAGAGAAGAGAAATAAACGGACCTGCAACAAGATTCTCATCTTTGTAGATTTAGTTTCCCTGGCAATCCAAGCTAACTGTGATAAATGTTACAAAAGTTTCCAAATGTGTGTTACTTCTCTTTCAGTCCCAGCCCGTACAGGCTATCACTCCTCCAGGTTGGGCCATGAACAAACAACCGAGCAAGGAGAGTCTAAAGGATAAGGTGAAGGGGATCTTTGGGCTGGGACCCCCGCGGCCACCGAGTAAACAAAGCGAAACAAAACCATCTGAGTTCATAATAACCACTGATGTCATTAAGGTGTGCAGAACAGACAGAACATCTTTGCATGTTCATCCATACTCAGACTCACCACGCATTTAAATTTCTTCCCATAATCTTTTTCAGGAGCTCCAGGCGGACTGCGGACTGAGCAACAGGGTTCGCATGATGAACCACGTCTGTGAGCTAGCCAAGACTAAAAAGTTTGAGGAGGTGAGTCTGTGCCGGGTGTGATATTTTTGATAACAGCAGTTATGCTAGAATAATTTTTTGACAGCTAATATGGCTGTAAATGTTCCACATAACTGCGCGAAACAGAGGGAAGAAAAGGAGATTGGTTATGATGAAAACGGAGGACAGCCAGATGCACAGCGACTGTTTCTGACTCCGGTGCTCTGGTATTAATGCATTACATTTAAATGCAGTGAGGTCGGCCAAACTCCTGTTTAAACAGACATGTAACAGAGGCTATGTCTCCTTCTCTATCATGCTGTGTGATGTATGATGTGACTCTTCAGCTCCTTCAGTCACCAGCTGACAGGAGAGACGCTCCATTTTGCACGGAAACCGAGCCACCGCTGCACAGAGTGCTATTCACATGTTTATTCAGCGTTTATTAATATTAAACCCTGACGGCAGTACACGTGTTCCTCTGTGTTTTTCAGCATGCAGTGGAGGCCGTGTGGAAAGCAGTGGAGGACATGCTGTCTCCAGAGCAGCCACTCGAGGCCAGACATGCTGTCCTCCAGCTCCTCAGAGCCATTATACAAGGACAGGTATATTGAACAATACACACAAGCAAATACAAAATGTCAACATAGTGGCTGCCACTTCCTAAAGTCATGTTCACTGTCTTTTATGGGAAGGGTGAGCGGCTCGGCCCTCTGAGAGCCTACTTCTTCAAGGTGATCAGAGACTACCAACCATGCAACGAGGACCTCTCTGATAGGCTGGAAGTCTTCAAGGCCTTAACCGAGAACGGGAAAGACATCACATACCTGGAGGAGGACATAGGTGAAACTCCTCTTTGGTTATGATGTGCAATTGTTAACACAGAAATGCAGACTTTAAACCAACTTGCAAACACTGTTCAGAAGGTCGTATAAGGGTTCATACTAGTCAGTTGTATTTGTGGTTAGTTTCGACATGTGATCAGGGTTCCCTTTTTGTAGATGGACTTTGTGTAGACAGTGACTAATTTAGCAGTCTGTTTCATACTACTGCAGCTGCACTCTGGGCTCAGATAGGATCCTTTTCTGATGATTTGCCACAGTGCTTCTTCTGTTGTAGCTGACAAGTATTGTTTGTAACTTGTAAAGGCATGGATAATCCTTTACACACCTATTCACTGGTACTATTTGTTTCTGTTATTATGATGCTATTTTTCTCCTCTCCCCAAGCACGCTTTGTCCTCCTGTGGATGGACATAGGTCTCACCTCCGACTTTCTCCACGTTCTTGTAAATCTGGTGAAGTTCAACAGCTGCTATCTGGACCAAAATGTCTCCATCATGGTTCAGTAAGTCAGAGATACAGACAGATGTACACACCGACGTTTTTTTTTTTATCCGGAAAATGTTATTAACATGCTTTTTTTTGCTTGTTGTGTTGTGCAGGAAAATCTGTCTCCTGTGCAACAGAACCACGTCTTCAACAGATATTGAGGTACGAATTTGGTTTTCTTCTTCATGTTACAGATTTCTGTTAAACTTAAGCAAGTATAACAGTGTAACATGTTTTTAACTGGAAAACAATCAACACATTCTTTGTTCAAACGTCTTGTTAGCATTTAACAGTACATGCTGACCTCCCCTGCTCAAAAGTTGCTGTTGTTCACTTGTAATAAGACCCATTACTGCTCCTTGCAATGAATGATGAAGAACCTAGAATCCAACATTTCATTCTGCTTAGATTGTGTGGATGCAGTGGACCTTACCTATCATCACGTACACGGTGTATAGTATTTTTAAGCACCATGTGGCCATAGCAAGCTAAGGTTAAAAGTCTTATAAATGTTTTTCTGATTCTCAAATATTTGTGGAGTGCTTGTTTGAGACTCCAGTTATCTGTGACTTTTGAAACCTGCTGAATGTGAAATTGCGTTCAGTTATATTGAAGATGAATTCAATATTGAAGTGATAGTGTGATTTATAATTGGTGACATAATTAACACTGCCAGTCCTGAGACCTTTTTATTGCTTATTCTTCATCACTGTGTGAAAATAATTAACATAGTTGGTTTGTACTTGTGCTACTTGTTGTTGTTGTGTGTCCAGGTGGCACTTCAAGTACTGGATGCGGTGGTGTGTTATAACTGCCTCCCCTCAGACTCTCTCACGGTCTTTATCATCACACTCTGTCGCACTGTCAATGTTAAGGAATTTTGTGAATCTTGCTGGAAGGTGAGAACACGTATACACACATATACTCTACATACACACTCTTTTTTTCTTTTATCTAAAGACTCTAAAAAGAAAGGTCATGATTCATAACCACCTCATCTGATCTTTCTCCTCTGTTGTTTGTTGTCCCCTCTTT